GTTCGTAGGAAATTGCACATCATAAACACTGGACATTGGCTAATTAAGAGGAAATATTTTCTGCTTCTGAAACAAAATGGTAAGCTTCGTCATGTACGTCATTATGTGTCCGTAATACGTGTTCATATTTTTTGACATATTTGTCTAACCTTCCTACTTGTCAGTATAAACGTGGAGGTCACATGCATAGAAGACCAGCCCCTTCCTCGTCCTTGTCCCCTTCCCTTTCCTCTTCTCCTACCCTTTCATCTAACCCTCAACCACTATATGCTGATGGATAATATGGACACGTTGGCCCTTCCTCCAACACTCAAGAACATGTTAGGGGACTTGGACACATGCGAACTGAATCTCCTTCAGTTCCATCTCCTTCAGATCCATCTCCTTCCGTTCCACCTTATTATTCAGCGCAACAATCGAATAATGAGGAAAACACAGATGAAGAAGATAACCGACTCATGATATGCCCATTTGGAGATTCGTAAGTACTTCATTTTTTTAAGTATATGTAATATTTATGATTTTAGATATGGATGTCAACTGAATTGTCGATGTTGCATAATATCCGTATGTTTGCAGATTCACGAATGCTACGTTTGTTGTGAGGGAACTGAATAAAATAGTCAAAAACTATTGGATGGGGCAGTATATTAATTACAGCAGTGCTCCACAAGAAGTGAAAGATTTATGGTGGAATGAGTTCAAGGTAAGTTTTAGATATTCTATTTTCTCACCAACTAAGTTCGGTGTAGTATATTGATGGTCAAAAATGATGTAAAGGGACCAGAACAACTCTTTAGTTTTCGGTACTAAAGAGACCAGATATTTTCCCCGAGATGAACTTTACAAAATCTATCGCCGAATTGTCTGGTGCATGGTAATGGATATGTGACCATCATAATAACTTTCAGTTGTTTTTGTATTGATTGCAACAGAAGTTCAGGTGGGATGAAGAGGAAGAGAATGAAGTGAGAAGAATTTTTAAGAAGAAAGTCAGTGATCACATACGAAATGTGATGAATAGAGCGAAGATCAAGCAAGTGAAGCCGGCTTTCATTACAGCTGACAATTGGACGGAAATTAACAGAATTTGGGAAACTGAAAAGAATCAGCAAATCAGTGAGCAGAATAAAAAGAATCGATCTTCTAGTTCTAGTGAAGGGTCTGCCACATATGCTGGGGGCTCTATCAACATTGGGGAGCATCGAAAACGAATGGTAAGTCTGCTAAATAAGTTATAAGTTAATTTAATTCAATTACTCATGTTTACATTTTTAGGTACATGAATTGGGGACGGAACCGATATTTGCAGCTACATTTGAACGCACATTTAAAAAAAAAAGATAAGACATGGATTGGCGATCGAGCAAAAGTTATTAAGGTATGTAAGGTTATACTTTGGACTTTATGGAAACTAGAATGAAAACCGTGAATGCCTTTAATATTTATGGTAGTTATATATATGAAGTTATTTTATTTTCATCTGTATTGTTAATATAGGAAAAATATGATGAACTTTTAATGAGCAATGCTAGTGGTGGTGATGGTGTTGCTGCGTTTGAGCTATCAGTTGACAGTATGGCATTATGGGTGGAGGCAACGAGTGGGATGAAAAAAGGAAAAATATTTGGGATGGGATCCTTGTCAAGGGTATACATGACGAATCATGCTGCAACTTCATCATCTAATGCGGCTGTTGGAAGGAGGACACGACATGAGGAGCAAATGATCCAAGAATTGAACCAACTGAAAAATATACTTGTAGAGAAGGACGAAGAAATAAATGACTTGAAACAACAAATGCAAATCGTTATGTGACACCTCAACCTCGATCACGATGAGGCTCCTCCTGTACCTCCTACCAATCCAATAGGTGATGGGCACAATGATGAGCGACACAATGATGCTGAGATTGGTGATGATGATGATGATTTTCTCAGTCCTTTCTAGTTAAAATTCCCAAAATCGGAGGTAAGCTTGCTTCACAATCTTTTGTGCCATAAGTGCAGTTTGCCCAATATGTTCCTGCCTTACAATTACTTTCTGTGCACAACTTTCTTACAACTAGGTTCTTTGCTTGCGAAAAACTGAAAATTTAGAGATCCCAGGATAACATGCTTGTTACAAAAAATCATGATATTTGAACATTGTAGAAATACATGCCTTAATTGACTTTGAGTCCTCTCTTTCTGGGAATTGGTGTTGGTAATTCACCTCTCTAAGTCATTAAACTGTTGAATGCTGTTTGGAAAAGGATCTAATTTTTCGTAGGTGACAGAAATACGGTTTACAAGGGTGAAAAAACTACAGTGGATGTCAAAGTTGACTCATATTCATATGTAAGAACATTGATGTTCGTCCTGAAACGTTTTTTTGTTAACCCTCTTACTTATTTTTTTATACCTAGTTCCACATCCATGCATAAATGCTTCTTTTATATTCTGGACTGATTGAATATCTTTATTTATGTATCCACATTTCATCAGGTGTCGACACAAGTGACTGCTTTCTGGTGTCCTGCCGAGTACCAAAGTTGCCCAATCTTGTATCTAGTTTGTCGATTTTTCGTTTTTAAAGCATAATCTATGGTTGTCCCGCCTCCTTTGAATGTTTTGAATGTATTATAAGATTGTATATCAAATAGCATCATGTCAGACTTTGCAACTTTGCATATATTATTATTTTTTGCGGACTAGCATCTTTCCTTTAGTTATATTTTTCAATTACATGGCATTGTGTCTGGTTTGTTCGTTTTCTGTTTCTGAAGCCTAATCTATAGTTGTCTCGTGTCCTTTAATTGTTTTGAATGTATTACATGATGTTCATTAATGCGTAGCTATTGCTATGGACAAGATTTGATGGCCCAAATGGTGTATAATTTGCGACAAATATTTAGCAATGAATTTTGCGACCAATACAGTTCGTGGCTAATTTGTGACAAATAAGTAGCGACGAATTTTGCGACGAATAAAGTTCGTGGCTAATTTGCGACGAATAAATTTTGCGTCGAATTTTGCGATGAATAAAGTTCGTGGCTAATTTGCGACGAATTCTTTGCGACGAATTTTGCGACGGATAAAGTTCGTGGCTAATTTGCGACGAATAAAGTTTGTGGCTAGTTTGCGACGAATTTTACGACGGATAAAGTTCGTGGCTAATTTGCGACGAATTTTGCGACGAAATTTGCGAAGAATTTTGCGACGAATAAAGTTCTTGGCTAATTTGCGACGAATAAAGTTCGTGGCTAATTTACGACGAATTTTGCGACGAATAAAGTTCGTGGCTAAATTGGTAGAAGGTTGATGGAAATTGTGGCTGGACATGTGGCTGAAGTTGATTGGCCTGCGTGGAGAAATTGTCCACAATTATAACAAACTTGTATTCCCTAGCCGTAAGGCCCACGTCCGAAATGTGGGATACATCCAAAACTCGGGAAATTCGTCCAGAACGTGGGGACCTAGTCTTAGGTTGTGTTCGTGATAGTTTATGGAAAATACCTTTGCATAAATACAAAAAACTTGAGGTTAACACTATTTGCTTAGGGTTTTCACGAAATACAAATAATATTTTACATAAAGGACTTTGGTTTAAAAGAAAAAACAAAAATCGCAACAGTAACCCAAGAAGGAGCTTCAGACCGGCGATCTTGCCGGTTTCCATCCAACTCACCAATTTCTTCATCGAATTGCCTTCCTTCGAAAACTCCATTTATATCCAAAGTCCTGTAGAATAAAAATTGCTGGTAGAAACATTCTGAGTTCGTAGTTCCAGAGGTCGCAACAACCATTATTGAAGTACAAGCATCGCCAGACTTTGAAGAAGCCCCATCGATGCCTTCGGATAGTGAAGATCAGCATCACACAATTTTCCGATCTCGACTCACCTCACTATCCTAGTAAATGGAAAGACCCCCAAGCTAAATCAACTTCCCCAATACTACTAGAAAGCTCAGAACTCAGATCCCCAAATGGAAAAGTTGAAAAGCTTCAATTGGTTTTTCGAGCATATATGCCATCAGTGAAATTCCACGACATTATTGAACCATACAGAATTCCAAAATCCACAACTGATTACTCTTCGAACAACAAAAGGAAACAATTGGATGCTGATGTGGGATTTTGTGGGACTAATGTCAATTGTTCTAAAAGCTCAAGCTTTTAGATGAATATGTGATTTAATATTTAATTACTCTAACACTCTCCCTCACACTTAGTATGCTCAATTGAACAAAATAAAATCTTGGTCCTCAATTGACCAAGATCAAAATCTTAAGCCATGTTTCCACGCTTATCCAAAGATTTGGACATACGGTTTGAAAGTTCTGGCCTTGAATGAGTAACAGGGTTGTTTTTTTCTTGGTTGGCTGTGGGAAATGGAGAAAAGAAAGCTGGCAATCAGCTCCTAGAGATGAGGCATAATGATCTTCTACTCTTTCCCTTTTACCACCTTTGGTTTATTTTCTGTTTTTCTTTGACTTATGGCGAAATAAGGAGAAAAAAGCATTAAATATTTGCAAGAAATAAAAAAAAGACAATAATTCTCCATTTGTTTACAGAAAATCAATGATTTGCAAAAGATTTTCTAAAAAATAATCGTTTATATCGCCTGAAATAATAAGCCAATTAAAATATTTTCCTTATTAACAACAATTTATGCGTAAACATTTTTGTGAACGATGAAAACGTTTTTTGTTCATTAATTTTTATAAGTGATACAAGTGATCATTTTTAGGAAAATATTTTTAAAATTATTCAAATTCTGTGAAATAAATACATCTTGAATCTCCAAATCCTACGACTTTTCCAAATAATCTACGCGTTTTATTTTAACGTAGGACTACTTTGACTTGTGGAATTAGTCAATGTTTGCAGCTGCACACCGCTCTGTCAAATTCTAGGAAACTTCCCTACAGTTCTTCCAATGGTTAGAGCTCAAAAATGTATAAGTGGTCTGGAATCAACAAGAGAAGCAATAGACAAAAAAACCAAGAGACACTAAATATGGATGGCCTGACAAGCTACTTGATTCTTGCCCTAATATCTTTCCTTCCCGTGGCCTCTACTATTGAAACCGCTAGTGTACCCGGAGAGAACCCAGCAAAGGAAATGATTCGAGTCGGGCTAGTTCACAACAGGAACTCGATCGCCGGGAAGATGGTGACGAGCTGTATATTCATGGCGCTTTCTGATTTCTACCGCACCCACCCTAATTACCACACTCGATTGTCGATTCAAGTCAGAGATCCAGCAGACGACATCGTCGATGCGGCATCAGCAGGTAAATATATGCACTTATGTGGGACATATTGGACTCGTGCTCATGTATTAGATTATTCACAACCTCAAACACTTGTCACCTGTGAATCTTGATTCTTCGGAACTTCAAATATTTGTCATCAAATAATTTGGTACCTCCTTGTCTGATCCATGATATTAATACACATACGATGAAGTCGTTCTAGTGTGAGTTGGTCGGGAAGGATCAATTATATAGTTTAGTGAATTCTCAAAAGATTATGACAGGGCATTAGATATTGATAGTATTAGTGTTATGGTGCAATGTAAGGAGAAATCTGCTATTAGTATTAGTATCAGGCATCTAACATCTACGATATCTATAGTATTGGTATTAGTATTAGGCAGGAAAAATTATCCAAAAAGTCCTAAATCTATTGTACGACGGTCAACTCAGTCTTGGGCCTTTCAATTGTGCCAATTTAATTCTTAACTTTTTTATGATTTAGTTCTTCTGGCCAATTTTGGTCGGAAATTAATGACGTGGACGCTGACCATCTTATGTGGCACGGCCAGCGTTGACATGGACAATTTTTGCAATTTTAGAAGTTTTATGATTTTTAATTCTTTTTTACATTTTTTCTTTTCTTCATTTTTTTTTACTGTTCTTCTTCCTCGAAGGAGGTTGTCGGGGCCTAAATGATGGCCGACGAGGGCTATCGACGGTCTACGCCTTTGTGCACAATGAGGGTTGCAACAGCCCTCACCAGCTCGCATATACCTAGAGAGGGCCCTCGTCCAGTAGCCGGCGAGGGTCGAGAATCACTGCTAAGGCCCTGCTGGCCCTTGTGGGAAGAAGAACAATAGGGAAAAAAATAAAAGAAAGAAAAGAAAAGAAAAAAATTTAAAAATTTAAAAAATTTAAAAATTCAGATTTTTTTTTTACGTATTGTAAAAATTGTCCACGTCAATGCTAGCCGTGCCACGTAGAACGACTAAAATCCACATCATTGATTTCTGGTCAAAATTGGTTAGAAAGTTCAAATTGGCAAATCATCAAAAGGTACAGGACTAAATTAAAAAAAATTGAAAGTTTTAAAACTAAATTGACAGCCATACAATAAGCTTAAGATTTTTTGGACAATTTTAGGCACTATCTACTTCATAAAAGCCTCTCTCTCTCTCTACACCCAAAAAAAAATATAAAAAGAAAAGATTTGTCAACATATGAAAAATCTATCATGATTAGACTTTTCAAACGAAGACGCACTTGACTTTTAGGTTCTCTTTCAACCTCATGTATACGCTCAACTTCGGTCCATCGCTTCAACATCTTTCTCTCTCCCTCCGAGGGTAGAAATCATACATTGGCTTTTCAGACGTAGGAACCATTCAAACAACCGAAGTCAACCTCTATGTTCCTCAACTTCACTATGTTCCTTCGCCATATGTCTATCTCTCTGTCTGCCTCCCATAAAAAAAAAAGATTTTTTGACATATGACAACTTCATCATCACCAACTTTCCAAACACAAAGCATTCCGATCCAATTTCAAGATTCATCCTCCATTTCTGCATTTAATAATAATTTGCACACTTCGGCTTTTGAAATCTACAATCTGTATCTTCAAGAACACACTTTGAGAAGAGGTGCATCAAAAACTCGATAGATCACCTGAATTTGAGCTTACTTTCATCTAAAAGTTTAAGTCAATGAGTTATGAGCCAATATTAATTGCTCCACCTTACAGCACATCTCCAACACGAGACTTTTTTTGGCCTAATAACACCCTCACACATACACCTTAACTCATCCAATGTTACTCTAATCTAAACCACTTAGTGCTCCACTGCCTCTCTTTCTCTCTCTCCGAGTTCTGGCGACCAGCCAGAGAATGAAGATGAGGGGCAAAAAACAAAAGGGAAAATGAAAAGAAAAAATTAATAAACAAATCGAAAAATATTAAAATATGTCCACGTTAGCATCGGTCGGGCTACGTAGGACGGCCGGTGTTCACGTCAGTACCGACCAACCAAAATTGGCCAGAAGGATTGAATTGACACAAATATACAAGATTTAGGATTTAATTGAAAAAAAAAAAATTAACACTGAATTGACACAATTGCAATATCTTTAGGAATTTTTCAGTAATTTTCCAGACCCCCAAGCCGTGCCACTACCCAATCACCATGCTACCTCTGTAGGACCGTGTGAAATTGCGCGGGGCCTGAAAATCTGGACTGGCCCAATTTTTTTCTGGCTCTAATAGCTTGCTGCCATGGAGGTGAGACCTACAGGCTTGACGGCCATGGAGCTCAAGCAGATCTGGAGGAGAAGCTTGACCTAACGCTGACCTCTGCAATTGACTGGGGGGTGCGAGAGAGAGTCCATGGAGTCCAACATTTTTTTGGGTAGATCATTTGTTTCATCAATTACATTGTGTTTGCAGTTTTAGACTTGATGGAGAATGAAGAAGTCCATGCAATCCTGGGCCCAGAATTGTCCTCACAAGCCAGATTTGTAATCGACTTAGGAATGAAAGCTCAAGTCCCAATCATATCCTTCTCCGCCACAAGCCCATCCCTTTCCCCCACACGAAGCCAATATTTCGTCCGGACAGCCTACGATGACAGTTCACAGGTTGGTGCTTTAAGGGCCGTTGTTCAGGCTTATGGTTGGAGGGAAATAACTCTTGTTTATGAAGACACTGACTATGGCAATGGCTTGGTTCCATACCTTGTCGACGCGTTCCAAGAGGTTGATGCTCGGATCTCTTATAGAAGCGTTATTCCTCCATCTCCGGAAGATATTGACATCGTAAAAGAGCTCAATAAGTTGTTGGTGATGCAAACAAGAGTGTTTCTTGTTCATATGACTGCTTTGATTGGGTCTAGGTTCTTTGTTCTGGCGAATAATTCGGGACTGATGAGTGAGGAGTTTGCGTGGATTGTCACCGATGGTATGTCGTCTTTACTGGACCCGGTCATCTCTAAGGCTTTGGGCTCGATGCAAGGTGTGCTAGGTGTAAGGCCACATGTACCACCATCAGAGTATCGTAGAGATTTTGAAGAGAGATGGACGAAGCTTTACGCCGAGAGAAATTCACACGAAGAGATTGCTGATCTCAATCTCTTTGGCTTATGGGCATACGACACCGTTACAGCACTAGCATTAGCAGGAGAGATGGTATGGGAGCCTGCAAAGTCTAGATACTTAAAGCCGAATACGAGCAGAAACAATCTCAACTTTTCGTCTATCGGGATTTCGGAGATGGGCCCGAAATTGCTTGACAAAATTCTAAGCATCAAATTTATGGGCGTCAGCGGAGAATTTAACTTGACCAACGGCAAACTTCAGCCCATTACATTCGAAATCTTTAATGTTGTAGGACAGAGAGAGGAAATAGTTGGTTATTGGACTTCGACGCAAGGACTTTCACCCGAATTGAACCCATCACTGAAGGCAGAGTACACAGCTTGCACCAACGCTTTGAAGCCCCCTACTTGGCCAGGAGATACATTAAAGACACCGAAAGGTTGGGTGATGCCGATATCAGGACAGAAACTAAGGATTGGGGTTCCAAAGAAAGACAGCTTTATGGAGTTCTTTAAAATTGAATGGGATCCGCATACGGGCGTGCCCAGCTACTCAGGATTCGTCCACGATATGTTTCTTGCCGTATTGGATGAATTGCCTTTTGCTATTCCTCACCAGTACGTTCCTTACGTGAACGAGAGCAGGCAAAGTGCAGGAAACTATGATGATATGCTGTACCAAATCAAACTTCAGGTTAGTCGATGCTTTATCTTCGAATTTTATCCTTCTATTCCTTGATAAATGACTGGGTGAGAAAAAGGATTACGTGATTGTGCTCGTTATCAAGTGCATTATTTCTGAGTCTTGATTGAGCTTTAATACTCTACCTGTTAAAATTTCCTTGCAGAGAAGTAGATCACACAACATAAATATGCACAATGGCATTGATATGCCTGGCTTGTATTTATGCATGATTTCTTATGATAGACGTTGTGTGCACAAATATCATTAACATGTTCATTCTGATAAAATTAAATTAGCCATTTATATTGAAGTTCATGAGGACATGATTATGCAGAAAGTCGATGCGGTTGTAGGAGATACGACTATTGTTGCAAATCGCTCGTACTACGTCGATTTTACACTCCCCTACTCAGAATCTGGCGTAGCAATGATTGTCGCTATTAAGGATGACGAGCGGAGGAACATGTGGATCTTCTTAAAACCATTGAGTTGGAATCTCTGGCTAACGACTGGTTTGGCCTTCATTTTAACTGGGTTTGTCGTTTGGCTCCTCGAACATCGTACAAATGAAGAATTTAGGGGTCGTCGTAGGCAACAAATTGGTCTTATATTCTGGTTTTCCTTCTCCACATTGGTGTTTGCTCATAGTAAGTCCTTTCAAAACTAACGACAGTACCTGGTTCCGTATTCGACTCTGCTTTTGTTGTTTTAACTCGGTCTTTTTTTAGCAAATTTACTACGATTTATATTGATGTAGGAGAGAAGATTACGAGCAATTTAACAAGGCTTGTGCTTATCGTATGGGTATTTGTGGTGCTCATCCTGACTCAGAGTTATACTGCAAGTTTGACTTCATTTTTTACCGTGCAACGTTTCACACCGAAGTTCATGGACGTGCAAGACTTGATAAGGAATGGCCATTCCGTCGGTTATCCGAAAAAATCTTTCGTGAGAGACCTTCTCGTGGGGCAGCTCAATTTCAATAAGTCCAAACTGAAACCTTACATTTCGCTGGAGGAATACGATGAGGCACTATCGAACGGAAGTGAAAACGGAGGAGTCGCGGCAATCTTTGCTGAAGTGCCGTACCTAAAACTTTTCCTTGCTAGATACTGCAACAAGTACAAAATCGTGGGACCAATCTATAAAACCGGTGGATTTGGCTTTGTGAGTCTCTCTCTCTCTCTCTCTCTTCCTCCGAGCTAACCTGTGCATGCACGGGTCTAATATATATGCACCTTGCATGAAAATTGATCTACCATCATTCATTTTCAACTTACCACAAATAAATTGTATTCAATATAAGCTTCTTTTTATTTCAATTTTTTAGGACTATTTATGTCTCACGACAGGTATCTACAATACCAGGGATAGAATATCTGCTTCAATGTCATATGTCTAAATTAATAATACTTGTTATATACTTAGACTTGTCAAAATGGGTCGTAGATCCATTTCTTAACCCACATTTTATGAACTGTGTTGTTATATGGGTTAGTTATATTTCAGTAGAAGGATCATAAATTGGTTTTGAATGGTAAAGTGCAAAATAATTTGGGTGTTAAATGGGTTCAAAATTTACTAAGACCCAACCCCACCTCTATAACTTTCTCTTCACTCTCTCTCTCCCTCGCTTGATTTCGCGCTTACTGTTTTCACCTCAGTTTGGGTACGAGTTTTTCTAGATTAAATTAAATATAGAAATATTTTAGCAATATGGGTCGGGTCGGTTCGCACCTCAATATGGTTTGTCATAGTGAGCTTATGAGCTATATAGACGAATTCAATAGATTTAGTATATCTGCACCTTGTATGATAATTGCTCATCTTAGTCCGTCTACGGGCAAATCATATTAATATAAGTTTTTTTTAGTCTGACCGTTGCAAATTATATGAGTTTTTAAAAATTTCTTGGAGACAAAATGTGGCAGCTGATATAGTACGGATCACAAAAATTGCAATATACGTAAATATATATGCCTACATTCGTGCACATGATGAAAATGAAGGTCAAAACGTGTCGAAAGAGTGGATGAAGACGGAACACGTTCGGCACGTGACAGTGCACCACGTGTTGACACGGGAAAAGTTGGAGGTGAAATTCTACTTTATACGCACTCACACATTACGTACATGTGTGCAAGAAAATGCTCAAAAGCTTCTACTCGCGTTGTAACATGCGTGCATGCCCCAAGATACACTCGACACACATCTTGACATGTTAGTGCACGAATACGATCATGCATGAAAGGCAAAGCCACGAACTAACATGACTAATTATTCATCAGGCCTTTCCATTGGGGTCCCCTTTGGTCTCCCACATCTCAAGGGCAATCTTGAATGTCACTGAAGATAAAGCCAAAATGGATGTGATCGAAAGACACTACTTCCGCGATCAAAGCTTGTGCCAAGATCAAGATGCTGCGATCTTTTCAAACAATCTTAGCCTGAGTGTGGACAGCTTCGGAGGGCTCTTCATCATCACCGGTGTCGTCTCGGTATTTTCCGTATTGATATATGTGGTTTCGTTCTTCTATTCTCATTGGCCTTCTTCGACTGCGATTCCTCCCTATGATCGCTCCCTTTGGTCCATGTTTTTGTTAACTGCAAACGAATTCTTTCGAGAGCACAGATTATTATTTGGTTGTCTGGTAAGAAATAGATCTAAGACAATTCCGACCTCGTATTTTCGAAGTGGGGGAGCTTCTCCTGATAATGATATTGAACAGATTGCGAGGAGACCAAATGAAGGAGAGAGGCCACTACTTTTTATACCCGTTTGAATAATGAAGATCGTGTTTCAAGACAGGCTCATCGAGCATGAGAACGATCATCAAACCTAGCCATGTATACGCACATATTAGCATCTAGTTATGTATATGCACATATTAGCAATTTTTTTTATTTGCTTTTGGAATAAAGGGTTAATTTGGGATGATAAATGTCTCATGTAAACTATTTTGTGTGTGTTTGTGTCAATACATTATGCTTGACTTAGGATGACTGACTTAAAAAGAACAGACAGTTTTGAGTTTTAATTCAGCCATTGAAATCGAAGTAAAATGCCATTTAAGGAATACGATATGAAATCGACATGCCTCTTAAATGAAATGGAATCAAATTTGTGAAGAAGCTAATAGTATTTAAACTCTTCTTTTGCAAAATTTTCTATTTTGCATCCCTTTGTAGTTAATTTTAAGTTTAAACTTTCAAGCAGTATTTTCCATGTCCGATTTAGCAAGTGTTTTTTCTTGGTATTTTCTATGGTTATTGGACAACAACCATGAATATTATGCATGTAAAAGTTCTTGACATTAATAACGAAAAAGGAGAATAAACATAATTAAATATATGTTTATTAATATATGTCCACTCAACTAGTTACTAGCAAAAGTGGACACACGTTACAAGTATATAAAAAATGGTTAATATTATGAAAAACCCCAAACTGGTACACCTGTGACAAATTTACCCAAAATTAATTTTTTGACAACTAAAAATCCTAAACTGATACATTTGTGACAAATTTACCCCCCCGTTAGTTTCCGTTAAATTGAATTAATACCTCAAAAAATCACAAACTAGTACACCTGTGACAAACGGATGATAAAACCCAAAAATGATACATCTGTTAACCATAGCGTGTCATTTAACAGTAAAATTTAATGAAAACTAACGTAGGTTAAATTTATCACACGTGTACCGGTTTGGGGATTTTGATAGTCAAAAAATTGGTTTGGGGTGAATTTGTCACAAGTGTACCGGTTTGAGATTTTTTGTGGTATTAACTCTATAAAAAGTCAGCAGTCAAAATATTTTGTAAAATCACCTTATTAAGAAGTATATGAATTATTAATTAATGGAAATAGATTATTGACATAATATGAACAAATTGTACAAATCCAAAATTTGAACTTTTTTTGGTAAGGTTGTTTATAAGATAGAAAAGATTCAAATTTTTAAATCGATCGAATATGTGAGAGGTAAAATAGAATTAGCAATTTACACATTTGTCCATTGGTGGAATATTTATGAAATGACTACTGGAGGATATTTTGGGAAGAAAACAAGATGGCGATTCGTAAGGTAGGAGGTCCTCTTTACTTTATATACTCTTTATAGACAATAAATTAGGAGAATATTTCACGAATTATTTTCTACTGTCCTCTTCTTCAGTTATTGAATTCTTAAATTACCTCCTACCTTGCAGGGAACTTCAAAAAACGATAGTTTTCCGGATCAAATTAACACGTAATCACATGTAAACCTGCAAAAACATCAAGATGAAGAATCACTTTGTCAAGGTAACCAACAAAAATATATTTCAGAATGATATGATCCCTCAAGCACTCTCGTCTGTGGACATCGGCGAACTGAGAAGTTGTAGTAGTGGATCAGGAAGGAACAACATTTCGGAAGACTTGTCTCACCGCTTGAATGCTTTAGTGAGGTTCGATATTAATCATCATTGACTTTTCAAACGTAAAACCAACTCAAACAGTCAAACTCAATTGTGTCCCCCCGCAACCCCACCCCCCCCCCCCCCCCCTTAACTTCACCATGTTCCTTCACTGTCAATCTATCTATCAGTCTCCCTCTCAAAACATAAAACAAAAAAAAAAAGATTTTTCTACACAGGACAAGTTCATCATCACCAACTTTTTAAACACATCGCGCTCAGAACAAATTTAAAAAAAAGATCCTCAATATTTACAATAATAATAATTTGCATCGTCAAATTTTGGAACTTACACTTTGCATCTTGAATTTTGTGAATACATTCTGTTGGGAGGCCTAGCAAAAGCTAAATATATTACCAAGATGGGAGTCCACATTCGAACCCATCAATTTTTCCTGATAGTCTTAGGGCGTGTTTGGTAACGTTTCTATTTCTTTATTTTTCTGTTCTTTCGTTCTCCGAAACAGAAAAAGAATAAAAATTCATTTGTGTACCTCAGTTAATTTTTCTATTCCCTATAATAGAAAAGTGGCTAGAGAGTAGATTTGGAACGTAAACAAGAAGTAAACAAAAATATACTCTTTTGTTCATGAGAACAATTTCTAAAACAATGTCATTTTCTTCTTTTTTTTTCCTTTTTTCTTCTTCTTCCTCTAGCCGGTCGTCGAGCCTTGGTGATGGCCGATGACTAGCCAGACACATCGGCCTCGGGCGAGCCTGGCCAACCATGGTGAGGCCGACCTCGCCAGAGGCCAATGAGGTCGACCTTGTCGGCCCGCGTCTCTGGTCGGTCATTGGCTATTGCCAAGGCTTAGCGACCGGCTAGTGGAGGAAAAAACGAAAAGAAAAAAATTCAAAAATATTAGAAAAATCTTCGAAAATTATTATAAAACTAAATAAATTCCACGTCATAAAATGTTTTTAGGGTCGTAACAAATGCATTTCTGTTTTTTTTTCTTTTTTGAGGATAGAAATTTTGTATAGTTACCAAACACGTTCTGCTCAAAAACTCGTCTAGGGAATAAAAATAAAAAAACTATTTCTGAAAAAGAAATTATTCCCAGGAATATATTGTTACCGTATGCACCCTTACTCCCACTTATAATTTAAGTTAATGAGTTATAAGCCGATAGCTACTCCATTTTATATCACATCTCCGATGATAGACTTCTTTTACCTAATAGCACCCTCATACATGTAAAGGAGAAGATTAAGAGAATACTTTCCAGGATGATTTTCATTGCTGTATATTAGTGATATTTATAGTACATGTACAAGGATGGTAGCAACTAAAAATATGGAGAAAATCTCAACTAATTGATAGCTATCTACAACAATGAGAAGGCTAAAATTATGGACGATAATTTGTAATTTGAATTTTAAACTGATTCTCTTATATGGCCACCTCAAGATGGAGTTTCCGTCGGAAACACCGATCTTGACTTGAAGTGTTTGCACGCGCTGTTTTGATAGTGGCTTGGTAAGGATGTCCGCCAGTTGGTCATGTGTGGAAATGTGAAAGACTCT